CTGAGAGTGAGTACAGAAAAGCTTCAAGATGCCGAGAGTGTTAAAGAGACAAATAGTCTGCCGGGTATGATTATAAAGTTATTTATTGATGGGCAGACATGAAACAGAGAACAATCACGAAGTCTGTAAGATGTGGGCCCCGGCTGTCATATGCCGGGCAAGCAATGTTATACTGTCAGCTATCATCATATGATAATGAACAACCAATCAGGAACCGCCTCGTTCTGGTACATGAAGTAGGTCAGCTTGATGCTGACATCCGGAAGGATATCACAAGATATGAACAAGTGTTCATATCTGCAGGAACAGGAACAGGAACGAGTGGACAGTGTCCAGGTGATACATAATCAGTATTCCACAACAGTGACAAATAAATGTTTGGATAATTTTTCAAAAGAACAAACATTTAATAAGTCTTTAAAGTCAGGTAAGAAAAGATAAATAAAATTTGGAAGTAAAAACTTCAGATTTAACATTAATTAAAGGAACCATCATGGTCTGTCCTGTTCAGAAAGACTAAATGTAAAATAATTTCTTTACTAAAACCTCTGTAACTTTGCTCCAGTTMWTTTTAGCAGCATGAATCTTTGYACAGGTGATGTCCACAAGTGGATTTATGGTTTCCAAGAGTTTTTACCTGATTCATTATGGTTTTAAATGAGTTATATACTGTCTAATGAAAACATTATGTCCCATCCTGAAAATCTCTAAAACCACAGCAGCTGTTTTAATATTTACACTTTAGATAAAATCTCCCAAGTGTTTCTTTATTTTGTAGGGCTGCAACAACACATGTACCTATATCGAACAGTGCTTTAGGTTCAATACACACTTGTATGGAACAATACAGGTTTTTAAAATTTATTTTATCAACTTGTCTTCTGAAGATGCTCTGTGTTGAAGGATCAGTGGATCTGTGTTCGACTACTCCACCTAGGCTGCATTGTGGAGCACAGATCCACTGAGAAACTTGCTGTTTCAGCAACATTTCATTTAAAAACTGTACTTTTGAGGTTAAACAAATGTTCATAATTAATATAAATAAATTACAAGTTAAACAGGGGCATGGACATTTCTCTTTTTTGTACCGAAAAAATATCGAACTGTGAGACTAAAGTATCAAACTGAATCGTGACTTTTCTGTATCGTTTCATCCTTATTATTTAGATACCAGGATTATTGAAGTAGAGTTTGTAAAAGCTGAAATACACTCAGTTACATTTCAGCGTGGGCTTTAAAGAGCTTCAAGAAAACCTCTTGGGGCTGAAGAGGTGAAAGGATGAAAATTAGGAATCCAGTGCTCCAATGACTTCTATTATAACATAAAAAGTGCGAGTCACAATTTAGCAACGATTTTTCAAACCAAAGCAGAAAACAAACTGGATAAAACCTTAAGGTAGATTTCAAAATGCTAAGGGGAGGCTAAGCATGAAAACTTGCCGGGATCGAGCAGCACATTCATCAAAGTGTTCAAACATGATGATGGAAACTGATGAGCTTCAGAACTTTTGTTCAGAGCAGCAGCTTCCTGATGTTCTGCTTCCTGTTTACCTGCGCAGGTGTCCGCTCTGGACCAGGAACTGATCGAAGTGGATCCCGACACAAAGGAGATGCTGAAGCTGCTGGTGAGTCCCTGACCTCTGACCTTTACTCTGTCTTTAACCCGTTACTGAAACCTTTCTGAAGATAAAGGTTTTAAATGTTTTTTGAGGAATAAGTTGATGAAATAAAATAAATCAGATTTTTATCCGACTGAATCTGGATGGTTTGAATGTTTTCTGTTAGTTTGAGACGTTCTGACAGGAAGAAGTTTAATGATGTGTCTCAGAGCTCGTCGGTTCTGATCCTGCAGCAGGTCTGATGTTTGTTTCAAAGCAGCTGATTGGTTCCTTGTTGTCATGGTTAATTTACAGAGCTGTGATTGGCTGCAGCTGATGTCATGTGCTTCATGATCAAAGATTGTTTCCTGCTTTGATTTTTTTTAATGATTGGATTGGACGAGTCCTTCTTCTGGGGTCTTTAGAGCGGTCCAACAGGTCCACGTGGACCCAGTTTTACTTTATAATCCTTTCAGAGACTGAAACCCCCTGAGAGGGTGGTCTTTGTTGTTTTGGTGTTGATGGGTGCAGATAAAAACATGATACGAATATTTGGTATAATTATTTAAATATAATTGTTTTTACAAATGTGAAATTATTTCTGAAATAACAGAAGGATCTGAAGTTACGTACTTTAATTATCTTGGGACAATTCAAATTTCTGCTTGTTTTTGTGAAACTACTTGTAAATTTAGTTTTAAAACAGGTCTCTGTTGGAAATGAGATTCTGGATCTCAATGAGACTACCTGTATAAATAAAGGTTAAAGGAAAAAAAATATATATATATATATATAAAAACTCAGAATGAAGTCATTTCCAGATTAAAGCTCAGAAATCAGTTTGTGAGAATCCTACGTTTCTCTGAAGCTTTAAAACATTCAGAGAACCTCGTTATGAAGTCACCTGTGTTTTTTCAGTTACCTGTACACACACACACACACACACACACACACACACACACACACACACACACACACACACACACACACACACACACACACACACCCCTCCCTGCATCGAAAGGTGTCCCGGCGTCCTCGTGGTCGTGGTCATTATTAATGCAGGAAGAGAAACTGAGAGCTTTCCCGTGTTTGAAGGACTCTGTTCCTCTCAGACCCTGATGCTCTCAGACACGTCCTGTCCCTGAACAGGTCTCACCTGGTCCAGGTCCTTCTCAGGTCTCACACCCTCCTGTGTCTCTGTGTCTCGTCCTGCAGGACTTCGGCAGTCTGTCCAACCTGCAGGTGACCCAGCCCACCGTCGGCATGAACTTCAAGCAGCCCCGAGGAGTTTAACGTCTGTAATTATCTTCTAATAAAAGCCGTTTGGGACAAAAAGCCTCTGCTGTGCAGGACTGTTTGACTTCATTACAAATGTTTGTTTTAGATGAAAACTGCTGAATCTTATTTAATAAACCTGCTTCAAGCTTCACATTTTCACATCTCTAGTTGTTCAACGAGTTCAGACACGTTTCAGTTTCTAATGTTTATAAACCAAGAAAGAACTTCTCTGAAGCAGAAACATGTTTTATTACAGAATCAGACACAGTCACTGTAAACTACAGACGGACTCTGGGAGGTTGTTTTCATAGAAAATCCACAGTTTTTAAAATCAACTCTTGTTTGGCTCATAAGCACTTCAGCAGGAAGAAGTTACAGAAGGCTCCTCGAGGACAGTCGCACATCTTCCCGATCCGAGAGCCTTTCCTGATGGCGCAGTGCTCGCCGAGGTCACACTGAAAACAGCAACATACATGTCAAACTACACGTTAAACATGTCAAACTACAAGTCACGTTATACACATGTCACTACAAACATGTCGAACTACACGTTAAACATGTCAAACTACAAGTCACGTTACACACGTCAAACCACATCACACCACAAACGTCAAACTACATGATATAAACGTCAAACTACACAAACATGTAAAACTACAAGTCACGTTATAAACATGTCTACACGTTATAAACATGTCAAACTACAAGTCACGTTATAAACATGTCAAACTACACATTACACTACAAACGTCAAACTACATAAGCATGTCAAATTACACGTTATCATGAAGTACAAGTTATAAACATGTCAAACTACACATTACACTACAAACGTCAAACTACATATAAACATGTCAAACTACATGTTAACATGTCAAACTACACAAACGTCAATCTACATATAAACATATCAAACTACACGTTATTAACATGTCGAACTACACATGTTATAAACATGGCAAACTACACATAAACGTCAAACTACACATAAACATGTCAAACTACACATTAACATGTCAAACTACAAGTCACGTTATAAACATGTCTACACGTTATAAACATGTCAAACTACACATTACACTACAAACGGCAAACTACTATAAGCATGTCAAATTACACGTTATCATGAACTACAAGTTATAAACATGTCAAATTACACTACAAACATGTCAAACTACATATAAACATGTCAAACTACATGTTATGTCGAACTACACATTATAAACATGTCAATCTACATATAAACATGTCAAACTACGTTATTAACATGTCGAATTACACGTGTTATAAACATGTCAAACTACACATAAACATGTCAAACTACACAAACGTCAAACTACACAAACATGTCAAACTACACATTATAAACATGTCAAACTACACGTTATAAACATATCAAACTACACGTTATAAACATGTCAATCTACACATTATAAACTTGTCAAACTACACGTTATAAACATGTCAATCTACACATTATAAACTTGTCAAACTACACGTAAACATATCAAACTACACGTTATAAACATGTCAATCTACACATTATAAACATGTCAAACTACACGTTATAAACATGTCAAACTACCCATCATGTTATAAACATGACAATCTACACATAAACATGTCAATCTACACGTTATAAACATGTCAAACTACACGTTATAAACATGTCAAACTACACGTTATAAACATGTCAATCTACACATTATAAACATGTCAATCTACACATTATAAACATGTCAAACTACACGTTATAAAGATGTCAAACTACACATCATGTTATAAACATGTCAATCTACACATTATAAACATGTCAAACTACACATTATAAACTTGTCAAACTACACATNTTATAAACATGTCAAACTACACGTTATAAACATGTCAAACTACACGTTACAAACATGTCAAACTACACGTTATAAACATGTCAAACTACACGTTATGTCAAACTACACGTTATAAACATGTCAAACTACACGTTATAAACATGTCAAACTACACGATACAAACATGTCAAACTACACATTATAAACATGTCAAACTACACAATATAAACATGTCAATCTACACATTATAAACATGTCAAACTACACGATACAAACATGTCAAACTACACATTATAAACATGTCAAACTACACGATATAAACATGTCAAACTACCCATCAGGCAGATAGGAGCTGTCTGTTTTTAGAAAAATAAATGTTTGATTAAAGAACTTTCAGTCTGACGAGTAAAAAACTAAAAAATACTTCCTGTCATCGATGGTTAATTTGTGTTTGAAGAACTGAAGAGCTGCTGCCAACAGCTGTAACATGTTTACCTACAGGTGAAGTGACCGGCCCCGCCCACTTCCACCTCACGAGCTTCTCAGGATTTATGAATTTATCTGAAGATAATCTGAAGTATTTGAGCAGAATATGAACCCTCTGCTGCCCCCTGCTGCTCACATTTATCTAATTATAGCCTGTTGTGGTTAAAGTTACAGGATAAAGGACTTCAGGTACATCTGAGAGGACCGGTACCAGCTGAGCTGAGATATTAAAAGAAAAACAGAACCACAGTCCTGGTTCTGTTCTGGTTCTGTTGGACTCACCGAGGGAACCTGGCCGTACTTCTTCTCCCAGGGGTTGATCCTCTTGGTCTGCAGCCGCTCCAGAACCTCCTGCAGAGCTCCAAACTGAGGAGGACATCAGAGCCGGGTTCACACAGTTTATTTTAACTGTTAGTTTTTCTGACCCAAAAACCTTTTCTAATGAAGGGCACATGTTCAGAAACATTTAAAAACAGATGCATTCTTTTTATTTTTATACAGAACAAATGAAAACAAACTGCTAGGATCAAATAAACTTTAATT